CCCAATGAACTCTAAAAAAAGCACTCTATAGAGCCGTTAATTTTCAACTGTAGCACAACAATGCAATAAGATATTAATATTATTTATTAAAGATTAAAACTATATGTAGAATACATCATATAAATATATATGATTAATTCAGAGAATGATTGCTTGGCCTAATTATCCACTCAGAACATGAAACTCGTGGTTTTGAAACAGTTGAATCAGATTGCAGTGGAGAAGATGTCAGAGAAGAAATATCATTTGATTCCACTGGAGGAGTCTGTATGTGGCATTTATTACTGCTTTTAGAAGGTTGTATAGAGCTTCTACAGTGTTTTGAGTCCACTGTTGATCTTTTTATAGACCTCTTTGAAGCCTTTGTGAGTGTTTACTTTATCAACTCTGCTTCATAACATTTAACAGCACATTCTTCCTTCTCTTTTTGCAGTTGAAGTTTCTGTTCATCTTGCTGTTGCTTCTTTATAAGATGTTTAGCTGCAGCTGCAGCTTTGATCTCCTTGCAATGTTGAGTAGTTTCTAAACATTTCTTCTTACATTATTCCTTTCACTTCATAAGTTTTATCTGTTTTTATTTATGAAGAATTGCTCATTGAAGCTTCATATCCTTCTTGTATGCCTGGTTATTGATTTTTGCATTTTCATTAACATCTGCTTGCTCTCTCGCGGCCTGCATCTTAGTGAGAGAAAAGAATTGAGCAAGTTGAGAGATTTGATAAATTAAGCAATTCTATACATCTATTTTATTTGCATCACTTATATCTTTTCAATAAAGATTTTATAACTCTTTTCATCGGAATTATCATACATCAAAAGGTCTTTACTTTTATATAAATACACTGAAAACGATAGCGAACGATAGCCCTGATCGCAGGGAATCTCACGACACCCAGCAATCCCCAGTTGAGGTGGTGCTGGTGCCATGGTTGTGATGGAGGAAATCGTGGGACGCGCTGACGGACGCCCGCGAGAAGAAAACTCTGACAAGAGGCAGCAGCCCACCACATGTGGAGCAATATTGACACAGTTGAGCAATGTTCTTTGCAATGGGAGCGAAGATCCTGCCATCAACGGCAAAGGGAAGGAGGTAGTGGAGGAGGCAGCCAGGTTGGTGAGGGAGTTGAAGGTCAAACTGGGGGAGGTGATGCTGGCCAAGGTGGAAGACGCGACCGTGGCCACACGTGTACAACGCCAACCTTGATTGAGTGAAAGAAGCCAAACTGTCATCATGGGCCAAGGTCGCAGGACAGGGAATTCCAGAAAAACCAGTGCCTAACCGAACCCTCCGCGAGATTACTGTCCTACGCCGGGACTGCGAAGCCCTCTCAGCTGAGGAGGCCACCTCTCTAGCGATTGTGGCAGCCGTCAACGCCATAATTGTGGATGTGACAAAGGGAAAGGTGCTTGCAGCAAGAAGTCTCCCCAATGGTGACATCATCTGGACAACCGACGCGAGTGAGACTAGGAAGCCTTGACTAAGACCCGACCTGGATGGGAATCTTGTGTCTATATAGTTTATGTATTTTATTTCTGTTATTCGTTATGTTTAAGGTAATCTCTATGGTGAAATTTTTTCTTTTTTTGTTTGTAACTCAA